AAGGCTCTTCAAAAATAATTTAATTGCTTCTCTACCTTTAGAATGTGAAAGCATATTTGGGTTCTGATTCCCCTACTAATTAATGTTCTTAAGAACATAAGAACTGCTATTTACTGGATCAGACCATATATAGGTCTATCCTGCCCAGTATACTGTGTCACACAGTGGCAGAGAGAGGATGCTGAAAGGAAGAGTGAACAGAGTATGACCAGGGTTTTTCCACTGTTCTTCTCTTACTTACAGCCTTTTGGAGTCAGTAAAACATAGCTTACTTCCTGCAGGGATTTTTACTTTTTAGTACATTACAAGCTTGTGGTGTCCTGAAGGAGCCTTTCCTAAACTGAGACCCCAAATGAGAAACCTTGGCTGTACTTTCCCTATACAACAGCCATTTAAGTATGTGAACTGTGGTGGCATGCCAATAAGCTGAAACAAAATCATGTGGCCTGATGCATGGAATTATACTGCTCTATTGGATGGACAACTTCCAAAGACATTCTATACTATACTATTAATAAAGTTCTTTTCCCTTTTCAATGTCCTGCATCCAGCACTGGGATGATAATAAAACCATTACTTATTGGCTGCTTTTTGTTACCCTAGATGCTGCAATCTCCTTTGAAAATGTTAGCATTTTCTGAAGACAAATCAGAAATCAGTTATTCACATTATTAAATACAACAGTCTCAGTGTTGTCCCTTTGCAACAAGGGACATTCTAACATGATAAAATGTTAATGTACAGAAAATATCTAAAACTTATAGAAATTTACTTTCTTCTCTCTGTACTGTCTTCTCATAAAACACTTCCTGAAAGAATAAAGTTGAAATGCTGATGCCTGTGATTATCAAATCTTCAGAGATGAAATGGTTTATAATGGATTAGAGATAGAAACAAATGATATAGAAGCTCAAAAGAATGAGCAGAGATTCTAAACTTAATCTTTATAGATATGTGCAAAACAGGTGAATAAGCCCAGAGTCTAAATGGAGCAGACAAAGATAACTCCTTAAGCAGCATATGGTGAGGCATGCAAATAAAGGAATAACACACCAAAAATACATGCAAAAATTAAACTGAATTGTGGAGTTAAATAAAATCCAAAAATGCCCATGAGTACTGTGGAGCAAATATGGAAAATAGAAAACACCCTCTATATGGTAGGGTATAGAGCAAGAGTGCTCAAAAGCCCCCATGACTAACCAAAAGCATCCAGGAACATCTCAAAGCTAAAAAGGAGGCCTACACCCAATGGAAGGGAGGGGCCATCACCAGGGAGGACTATACCTCCATTGCTTGGGATTGCAGGGGGGCTGTTAGGAAGGCCAAGGCGGAGATGGAACTGGGACTAGCAACCCAGATCAGGGATAACAAGAAATTCCTTTTTTAAATACATAGGGAGTAAAAAGAAGGTTCTGGGTAACGTGGGGCCTCTGCAGGACACGCTAGGAAATGTGGTCGTCACACCAGATGACAAAGCTAACCTATTTAACAATTTCTTTGCCTCCATTTTTTCTGAGCAGGGACCAGGTCATCCCCCCAAGCAGGATCCCAGGGGAGGCACAGCCAGTCTCAGGGTCAGTGAGGACCTAGTCAGGGAACTTCTAGTGGGACTGGACGTGTTCAAATCAGCAGGTCCTAACAATCTCCACCCCAGAGTGCTAAGGGAATTAGCAGAGGTCATTGTGGGACCCCTGGCACAGCTTTATGAGCACTCATGGTGCTCTGGCGAGGTGCCAGAGGACTAGAAAAGGGCTAATGTGGTCCCCATTTTCAAAAAAGGGAGGAAGGAGGACCCAGGAAATTATAGGCCTGTTAGTCTTACCTCGGTCCAGGGGAAGCTCTTTGAGAAAATTATTCAGGTGCACATCTGCGAGGGGCAAGCAGGGGAGTGTATGCTTAGGGGCAACCAACATGGGTTCATTAGAGGCAGGTCCTGTCAGACCAACCTGGTGGACTTCTGTGACCAGGTCACAAAATCCTTGGATTCAGGTGTCGCGGTGGACATGGTCTTTCTGGACTTTAGGAAGGCCTTCAACACTCACTGTCTCTCACCCCATTCTCATTAAAAAAGAAGATTGTGGCGTCGATGCCTACACAGTCAGATGGGTTACCTATCAGCTGGAGGGCTGCACCTAGAGAGTGGTGGTAGATGGGTCATTTTTTACCTGGAGGGATATGGGCAGTGGGGTCCCCTAGGGCTCGGTCCTGAGGCCCACACTGTTCAACATCTTCATCAGCGACTTGGACGAGGGGGTGAAAAGTACCTTGTTCAAATTCGCAGATGACACTAAGAAGTGGTGAGAAGTGGGCACGCTAGAAGGGAGGGACAGGCTGCAATTGGATCTGGGCAGGTTACAGGGGTGGGCAGATGAGAACAGGATGGGATTCAATACTGACAAATGCAGGGTACTGCACCTAGGGAGAAAGAACCAGCAGCATACCTACAGGCTGGGGAACTCCCTTCTCGTCAGCACAGAGGCAGAAAAGGATCTTGGAGTCATTATTGATTCCAAGATGAACATGGGACGCCAATGTGGGGATACGGTCAGGAAGGCTAACTGCACCTTGTCATGCATCCACAGATGCATCACAAGCAGGTCCAAGGAGGTGATCCTCCCTCTCTATATGACGTTGGTCAGGCTGCAGTTGGAGTACTGTGTCCAGTTCTGGGTGCCGCACTTCAGGAGGGATGTGGACAACATCGAGAGGGTCCAGAGGAGGGCCACTCACATGATCAGGGGGCAGCAGGGCAGGCCCTGTGAGGACAGCCTATGAGACCTGAACCTGTTCAGCCTCCACAAGAGAAGGCTGAAAGGGGATCTGGTGGCCATCTATAAACTTACCAGGGGAGACCAGTGGGGAATGGGAGAGTTCTTGTTCCCCCGAGCACTGCAAGGAATAATGGGCATAAGTTGACGGAGAGTAGATTCAGGCTAGATATCAGGAGGCACTACTTCACAGTCAGGGCGGCTAGGATCTGGAACCAACTTCCAAGGGAAGTGGTGCTCACTCCTACCCTGGGGGTCTTTAAAAGGAGGCTAGATAGACACCTTGCCGAGACTGTTTGACCCCAGTACTCTTTCCTGCCATGGCAGGGGGTCGGATTTGATGATCTGCTCAGGTCCCTTCCAACCCTACCAACTATGAAACTATGGTATCACATGCAAAAAGATGTGATAAGGAATCTCATCATGCCAAAGCTTGTAGACAAGAGCAGCGCAGAAAAATGCACCACACGGGGAAGCAAATGGTGTTTCAGAGGATGATATTTTGCATGTCATAAATGTAGTACAAAACAGCCAAAATAAATGGTTTGTAAATCTAGACTACCATTAGAATCAAAAGTCAAGACTACAGACCAGAAACAATGGCAAAACGTAAGTGGTGCAACAAGCTACAAAGACTTCCTCAGTAATAAACAATAAAAGAGTCCAAAACTGCAAGGAAGCAAAGTCAGATTATAAAATGAAATGAGCATAATCGTAATATCACTAGGACACTATACATTGCAAGCAGAATACTAAATAAAAGTACGGTATTACGAATGAAAAGTCAGGTATTGCAAACAGCAATGAAATCACCACTTTCAACTAAAATGAGTTAATTAATGAACCCAGTGATTCTAAACCTGTGGCAAACAATTCAGAAAATGGATACACACACAAAATAAAAGAATAACAAAAACATACTAAGAGCAGACAATGCAACATTCCCTGCAATATATATGCTAGTAATTACCAATCTGTTTTTAAAGGATTTCAGTGTCCTACCCATATGCTACACCAAAAATGAGATACAATGACCAAGTTTTTAAAGCATGATATCCACTGCAATAAAAGAGGAATTAACAGAAGCTATAAAAGAAATGAAAAAGGCAGCATTTTTACAGTCACAAAGCTAACTAAATGTATAAGCAGCACTGTAACCATTCAGAAACTACACAAAACTCAAGCAATTTTAGCCAACAGACTAGAAAGTTCTAACTACAACTACCTACAATTTTAGAAATATTACCTGATTTCACAAAAGGAAACAAACAAGTCTCAAACAAATAACAACAAAAAGCTACTGGATAAGACAAATAGTTACTTCATCACATATTAGGTACAAATGGGTATAAACAGATGGCTGAGAATGCTATTTGAGCTCACATCTACAGTGGAAGTACCGCAATAGTGTCATTAAGACATAGCAACAGGACTTGTCAGACTGTAATAGCTGATAACATTTTTTGGAGTGTGAACATGGCAGCATGGCAGGTGTTGCTAAATATGATCACAACCTCCCCTGTCCTCCAGAAAGAGCCAAGGAAGCAAATGCTTAACTGAATACAAATGAAGAGGAAGTTATGATTGACTGCAAGTGCCTACCATACATGGGATACTTGATGATCTCTCAAGTGCTCCAAAGAGATAAAAGCAGTACAGCACACGCAGTTAAACATTAGCTCAATTCAGTGATGATAAGAATTTATAACCTGACATTTCTCTCAGATGCGTGTAAAACCATGAGGCAGCTACTGAACAAAGATGTAAAATGCACATGGGACCAGATTCACAAGGTGTGGCAATGCTATTTTCCACAATAACTGTTGTGACGGGCTAGCTGGCAGTGACCTAGCCTAGGGGTTTTGAAAGGGCAAAAGATGATTGGAAGACTTGGCATTCCCTTTCCTCACCAATCAGGCCCCAGAGACTCGCCCCTCATGTCCCCTGATTGGCCCCTTGGGTCACCTGGAGGGGGATAAAAGGGGCAGCACGGCTGACTCAGGGAGAGACCAGTGAGGGACCATGAGGAAGGAACTTCAAAGAGCTGGCAAGAGCTGAGCCAGTGGGGCAGAAGCAGGTGCCCCAGAAGACTCTGAAGGAGCAGGACCTGCAGGCAGCAGTGGGACCCTCAGCAGCACGGTGCATAGTCAGCAGGAGAGGCTCCTTGCTGGGCTCCAGGATCCCCTATGAGAGGCTGTGGCCAGCAGGAGAGGCTTCCTGCTCAGCAAGGATCTGAGCAGCGACCTGAGGGGTCCCAGCTTGGCTTCCAGCTCCTCCAGTCAGAGGCCAGGCAGCTCGACGTGAGGCCGGGGCTCCAGGAAGGTCAAGACCCCTAGCAGCTTGAAACAATACCAGCCCTGGTGGCTGTGTAGCAGCATCCCTGCCTACCACATGGAGGATCCAAGTTCAAGTCCCAGTTTTGGTGACTTGGGGTGAGTGAGCTAACAAAGAAAAATTCCTCTTGCAGTGGAAAGGGACCATTGTGTTTTCCCCCTTTCTCCCCTTCCAGGTACCTAGGCCCTATATTTCTTTGTCCTTTGACATTTTGTATTTTGTGCCTTTTTTTTTATATTTCCCCAACCAGTATTGTTTGCTCTGCTGTTTGTGTTTTATATTTTGTTAACCCTGTCTTTTGCCAATGATTGTAAGTGTCTAACCTTTGTTGAATCCTGCCCCTTGGGGCATTGTAGTGTCCACTATACCCCCTGATTATGCCTGTTATGTTTCCAGTATTGTTCCCTCATTAAAAGGCGTATGGTTAAGTCCCCAGTGGCGGTCTGGCTCTGCTCTATAGGGGGAGGAGAGTCCCTACACCTCCCACAGCACTTGTGCACCTGCTTTGATCCCTTCAATTGGAGAGGGGGTACCTTTTGGAGTACCGCCCGGGTCACACTGTTTAATCTAAAAATTGTTCAAGGCATTACTGGTCAGCACTGTGCCATAGGCAGTCGCACCTTTGCTCCTCCGCCTGCAACTTCCTTCCAGCACCTCTGGCTCTGAAGGCCACCAGCAGCAGGCATGGCAGAAGCAAGCAGCATGTGGAGCAGCCAGAACTAATGCCACCACAGCCAAAATGACATGCTTCAGAATACCTTCACTCACTATGAAACAAAACACACTCTTGTGCTGCTGCCCCTGCTCTACATCTACGCTGGTAGACCTGGAGCCAGAGGCTTCAGTTCACATGCAGGAAGTAATGAGGGAAAGGTGGTGTTAGGGAGGAGCATGGTGCTCCCTCTGCTTCATTCTGCTGCTGCCCCCCGCCCCCGACTCTGCTTATCTTAGGCAGTGCCTGGGCCTCATGCCCTGCTCACCTTCATCTTTATGAAGTCATGGGAAACATGCCAGATACCAGAGGACTGGAAAAAGGTCAGGATGAAGTTGAATGAGGACAAATGTAAGGTGCTATACCTCAGAAAGAATAAACTAAAACACAAATAGAGTGGGTGATACCTGGCTGGATGGCAGCACTATGGAAAAGGACTTGGGAATCTTAATAAACCACAGACACAACATGAGTCTGAAATGTGATGCAGCCACACAAAAGATAAATGTGGTTTTGGGTTGCATCAGTAGGAGCATTAGGTGTAAGACATGGGAGGTGATAGTGCCTATTCTTGGCACTGGTTAGGCCTCATTTAGAGTACTATGGGCAGTTCTGGGCTCCACATTTTTAAAAAAGACCTGGAGATGTTAGAGAGGGTCCACAGGTATGCAACAAAGATGATCAAGGGTTTGGAAAGCAAGCCATATGAGGAGACGCTGAAGGAGCTAGGTGTGTTCAGCTTCTGGCAAAGGTGCTTAAGAGGGGACAGGATAGCAGTTTTCAAATACTTGCAAGGCTGCCATAAAGGGAAGGCACCTTTTCTCTTTTGCTGGAGAGAGAAGGATGCAGACCAATGGCTTGAAGTTGCAGCAAAGGAAGTTTAGATTGGATATCTGGAAAAACTTCTTCACTGTTAGAACAGTGAAGCAGTGGAATAGATTGCCTAGGGAAGTTGTGAACTCTCCATCACTGGAGGTGTTCAAGAAGAGGTTGGACAGCCATTGACTGGGGATGATCTAGGCATAACAATGCCTATGGCTTTCCCAGAAGCATTGGGTGTTGGCTACAGCCAACACTATGGACTTAGACAGGGGTGTGCCAATGCTCCTGCTGGGACCAAAGCCTTCTGGGTAGCAGGTTTTGTCCCTCTCTTCAGGATCAGACTGATCACCAGATTTGGGGCCAGAAAGTAATTTTACCCTATGGTGAGATTGGTATGGAGTGGGGGTTTTGCCTTGCTCTGTAATAGGGGGGGAGGGGGATGGGCTCCTGCCTGGGCTCTCTCGAGCATATATTGACAACATGGGTGGGGGGACAGTGTTGTCCTTAAATCTAACCTACTCCCTACTGGGTGGATGCTGGTATGTGTTTTTTCAGGTGGAGAGCTACAAGGTACAGGCAGGTGAGGGACTGGATGTCTAGAGACTAGGCAGAATATTTCTAGGGTACAGCCTTAATAAGATGGTTGGGTGCTAGCTAGTGAGCTGTCATTGGTAATTCTTGCAGTGGCTGTCCTGTTAAAATATTTTAAGAATAACTCTGTTCTTTAGAAAGAAAAAGTAGCCAAAGACCTGATGAGGGCTTTCTTTTTTTCTGTGCACAGCAACCCCTTCATCATCAAGAGCAGCTGTTAACACCCAATGTCAGTGCAATTACCAAAAAAATAAAACAGCAGCTAAGGAAATTATTCTTCAGTTACTGACAGAAGCATCCCAAAATGATAGTGATCAAATGACATCAGAAATTAAAGATATGGTCAATGGGTTGAAGAGGAGCAAGGAAGCCAATTTGCAGGTTATGGAAAGCATGAGTAATAAAATGGTAGAATGTTTTAAGGAATTCAGTAAGAAAGTTGACCATATTTTGTGGGTGGATCAAAGGCTTAGACAAGAGTTTCTAACAGAGTTTTATGATTGCAAAAGTATTGGGAGCAGCATTGACAATAGGCCACCCCAAAAAAACTCTCCAATCTCTTCTAAAGGAGAGCCATGCCTCCTCTAGCCACAAGGGGAGTGTCCCAAGATGCTTCAGGGATGAAGAGCAGGAGGATGCTGAGCAGACCCGGGGAGGGTATCTAGTAGACCCGGGTGGTATCTAGTGAGGGAGCAACTTCTCATGACTAAAGCAAAAGCATATACAAAAGGGGTGATGGGATGCTCTATTACCCTGTGTTGGTGTGCTTCTTCCTCATGAACTGCCACCAGAATATTTTCAAAGCTGATTTTTCTTCAATCTATTGGGGGTGGGGGGGGAGGGCAGGGGTGAACCAGGTTAGGTTCACAATCTGTCTTCTCTCTCTATCTACTTTAGGAATTTTTCAGAAAACTGTGATAGAAATAAAGTACCACAAAGGACTTTGGGAAGGGTCCTGTATTTTTATTTTCCATACAAGTAAAGTTTTAAATTCCACTTTAAATCAAACTATGTTTCAGACTCCAAAGAGTACAAAAATTGCAGTAGCAATCCAACTCCCATGCTCTAACACCAGAAATGCTTGTGTGTTCTCCCACCAAGACAACCCTGACACTTCTACAAATCTTGCCTGACATGGATAGGCAGCGCAAGGGCTGCACCATGACAGGGCAACACAAGCCCAACATAGCAAGCTTGAGAAGGCTGGCTGGTTAACACCAAGGGGAATTACACCACACACGAGACTAAATCTTCAATAATACACTGTGTCCAGTCCTGCATTATATACACAAACGAAGAGGGAGGATTTGAAAATCTTTAATAATACAAAGGTCTCTGCAGGGTAGGCTGAGCACCACAGCCAAAATATGCCTTTTTAAACCGTCCTTTCAAGATAGCCTTGAAAAACCTGAACTAAGAACAAGAGAGCCCCAAAGGGAGGAGGGAAGAGGCTTGGTGAAAATCTTGTGATGCTGGGTGGGGTGATACAGGGAGGTGCCTCATAATACGAGTCCAAAAACTGGTGACAGCCAGCTTCAGGCCTGCATGAACAAGGCTAGTGTCTTGTGGCTGAGGGCACTCATCAAGTAGATCACCAGCCATTAGCCCTTTACAAAGGTATTAGGGGAAACACCCTACATAATGTAGCATATATCATGTAGGTGGCACAGCAGGAAGCCAGAAAGCTGTGAGATGCCTTTGCACTGCCCAAGGTGCCAGTGTTCTCATCAGGCACAGGCATCCACTCATGGTCCTATCCTACCCACTCCACGGGTACTATGGATAAGCCCTCCCCCCCCACAATTCTGGTATACACTGCTGTGTACATGGTGCAGCACCACCTTGCCAGAACAGCACCAGTGGGAATGCTGCGGATACCTGTGCTTCGGGGAAAAAGGAGAGTGTAGGACAGTGGTAAGTTTGCTGATGGTGGGGTACCTTGGAAAAAAGACAGCAATTTTTAGTTGAATTTTTTAATGAGCTAACTGCTCGCTGTCATATCCCCTGACAGCTGTTCCAAGACCTGACAGAAGAGATGCAGCAACCCGGACCGAGGAGCAATGGTATCAGTGGGGATACTGATTCACTAATTAGGCATGTACGTAGTGGAAAGACTTGTTAAAATACAGTTATGTCATGTGAAAATAAAGTCCAAGTACTTCGATTCTCACATTTACCAACTGGAGAATAAAATATATTCACAACGCACTGTAAACACTTCCAATTTTTATTGGCAGGACTGAAAATGAGCCATATCAAGGAGGAACTGCTCTTTACTGGAAGAAGCGCATGATGGTTCTTTCTTTCAGTTAAAGTATGTTATTAAATTAAAGTATTCATTTGTTAAATTTAAGTTAAATTATGTTATTAAATTTTTTTTGATCTGTACAATACGGGCTTCTCTATGCTTGCTGGAACTGGGTTGGTGGGAGCAGGATAAAAAGTTGGGGGGCTAGCTGGAATGGCAGAGGCTGAGGCTGACCAGCTGAGCAGGGAAAAGGCCAGCCAGAAGTGAAGTGCATGCAAAAAAGAGGAACATTTAAAAAAAAAAAAATTGTATTTTTCATTAATCTGATATAACCAGTAAAAATTTGCAAGATTAGCACCTAGCATCTTGTTGCAGTATTGCAATAGAAATTCCATGGATTTATGAGTGAACCCAAGCAGCACCTGGTGGGGCAATTGTTGCAAAGCAGGGAAAATCCCGTTTTTGGGAATAAATCAGATACATGTTAAAATTTAATATGATAAAAAAAAAAAAAAAAAAAAAACTCATGGAAGAAATTCAGGAGTTAAAAATAAAACATGTTGGAGGTGTTTTAAAATTATCACTATAAAAAAAACCTAAACAATAAAATCAGCTGACAATGTGGATCTGCAGACGTGATTCAGCTAGCTTAATGACAATTTTTGTTATGTGGACAAAGGAAAAGTGCAACATGGACAAGTGCCCTATGGTATATTCAGTCACAAAAAACTGTCCACAACCCACTGATTTCATATAATTTGGTCCCACAAAGATTAGAAACAGGCCAAGACATTGTTAAACAGTGGAGGAGGTCAGGGCATGGCAGGGCAGCATGGAAAAGATTGGTGCAGTTAAGGTGCCTGCAGAAGGTGCCTGAGGTGCCTCATTTGAAATCAGAGGCTAGGCACTTTCCTATAAAGTAAGTGGAGCGGGTTTTCACAGTTCTGAATATAAAGGAACCGTATATTGAATATTTCCTAGGAATGTATAATTCTTTTAAGTCAGTAGCGCCCAATCTTTTCTGGCCCAATCCCATTGTGCGAGGCCAGCTCAGCTGGGACCATTTTGGTAGGTCAGAGGTAGCAGTGTTAATTGCCACTGGTTCCCTGCTGCCAAGTTAGTGCACCTTTGGGAAGCCCACATCCCATATAATATGGCTCCGTGTGCTGGATCTGGGGTTGAGTACTCCTCTTCTGAAGAATGAGCATTTCAGATGCTATTATTTGATGCAGGTGTAAGCTCAGTCATCAGATGGGCATAATGTGAGCCCAGGAGAAGGAAAAAAAGCCAAAGTAAGGCAATTTCAAAGGACAGAAAATACTTTTGTAATTGGAAGAATGCCCCCCCGCCCCATCAAAATACTGTGTGGTGCTGTACAAATTAAAAATAGGTGGAGAAAGCCATAAAAGGACATGAATCTACCAAAAAAAGAAACTGCTGAGAAAATTATTCTTGATTTTAGAGAAAGAGAGAGAGAGAAAGTAATACAGTAAAAGCCACTGCATGCAAGCTTCCTCCCCCACCTCCGGTGTCCGGCTGGCCTGCTGGAAATTCTGGTTAATAAAGTATTCCGGCTGGTAGAATGCTGGTTAACACAGCTTTTACTGTAATAACAAAGAACAGAAAACAAAGGACTTCAGGAGAGTTTGTAGGCCACAAGTATGAACCAATAAGAGCTCTCTTTCTCTAGAGAAAGACAATTGAGAAGAAGCAGAGCACAGGAAATGTGCACCACACTGTATCCCCTCAGCACAGGTCACGAAAAGAAGCAGGGACTTTGGATTCTCTATTATCCACGAAAACAAAGAGAGACATCAGTGGAGTGCTTGAAGCATGTACATACTCAGAGAAGTTAATTCTGACAAATTGATAGTTTATGATCAAAAATGGTTTTGTCTAAATGTTCCAAACCAGATCTAAACAGCAGCTTGGGAAAATTCTTGATGTCAACATACACATGTGATTTGGTGCCTGTAAGCTCTGTCAGTAATAGCAGCGAAGAGAGACAGACACATAAGGTCAAGAGCTACAACAGACAAACTAAAGATGTCCCAGAACTACTAACAGGCCCTCTCAGGATCAAAGCATTTCCTCAGTATAAATCATACACTTTAAAGCAGGCAACATGTATTGAAAAGATAAATCCTCAGTCACATAATGCAGCAGCTGAATGGCATATATTTCAGTGAAACTGCAAATACGTTCACCTAGTATGAGCACAAGGAAAACACAAATTTGGAGGACAGTGAAATTTCATTAAGACCTGATCAGTAGGGCACTTGTTATTCACCTGAGATGACAACTAAACCAATTTACATTGATCACTGAAAAAGTTGTTATCTGCCCTTGGTTAAATCTAATTTCAAGGACTGAAGACAGTTATAGCCAATGCTAATTCTCAGATATTTAACACATTTTTATTCTCCCTACTATTGGTAGGACAAAAACATTTTTTTCTTGATGTTCTCCTTCTTGACAGCATGGAATAAATATTTAAAGAAATGTTGTTTGGCATTGTATACTACTGAAAGAAGGAATGCAACTTATAAATGCTGAATTGGGTAATGAACAAATTTTATGGGTATACAGTACATGTTTAACCGCCTTTCTCCTTCTCTTCAGCAATCCTGCTCAGTAGAGGATGATTGTCTTTCATGAATGTCTTATATGTGGGTTTGAAGACTGCTACATGAGGTCAATCGGGGATCAACAGACTCTACTGCAATGCATGCACAGGTTTCTGTGCAAGATGAGTGGCTCTGGATTCTCGTTTCTGCTGCTCCTGCTTGTCTGTCTCCTGTTGTTGTTGTTGTTGTTTCATAGTTTAATAGTTGGTAGGGTCAGAAGGGACCTGAGCAGATCATCAAATCTGACACCCTGCCATGGCAGGAAAGAGTACTGGGGTCAAACAACCCCAGCAAGGTGTTCATCTAGCCGCCTCTTAAAGGCCCCCAGGGTAGGAGCCAGCACCATTTCTCTTGAAAGTTGGTTCCAGATCCTAGCCGCCCTGACAGTGAAGTAGCGCCTCCTGATGTCTAGTCTGAATCTACCCTCTGCCAGCTTGTGACCGTTATTTCTTCTCACTCCTGGTAGTGCTCGGGGGAACAGGGACTCCCCCAATGCCTGCTGGTCCCCTCCGACTAGTTTGTAAATGGCCACTAGATCCCCCCTCAGCCTTCTCTTGTGGAGGCCGAACAGGTTCAGGTCCCGTAGCCTCTCCACATACGGCCTGCCCTGCTGCCCCCTGATCATGCGGGTGGCCCTCCTCTGGACCCTCTCCATGTTGTCCACATCCCTCCTGAAGTGCGGCGCCCAGAACTCCAACTGCGGCCTGACCAGTGCCGCATAGAGGGGAAGGATCACCTCCTTAGACCTGCTTGAAATGCATCTGTGGATGCATGACAAGGTATGGTTGGCCTTCCTGACCGTGTCCCCACACTGTCGGCCCATGTTCAATTTGGCATCAATAATGACTCCGAGACCCTTTTCTGCCTCTGTACTGACGAGAAGGGAGGTCCCCAACCTGTAGGTCTGCTGATGGTTCCTCCTCCCCTGGTGCAGCACCTCACACTTGTCAGTGTTGAAACCCATCCTGTTCTCATCTGCCCACCCCTGTAACCTGTCTAGATCTGATTGCAGCCTATTCCTCCCTTCTAGCATGCCCACTTCCCCCCAACACTTAGTGTCATCTGCGAATTTGAACAGGGTGCTTTTTACCCCCTTGTCCAAGTCGCTGATGAAGATGTTGAACAGTGCAGGTCCGAGGACCAAGCCCTGGGGGACCCCACTGCCCACATCCCTCCAGGTCAAATAAGACCCATCCAGCACCACTCGCTGGGTGCGGCCCTCCAGCCAACTAGTGACCCATTTAACTGTGTAGGTGTCAACGCCACATTCCCCTTGTTTTTTTAATGAGAATTGGGTGAGAAAGGCAAGGGTCAGCAACCCCCGGCATGCGTGCCAAGCATGGCACACAAGGCCATCTTGCTCGGCACTGGGAACCCCACCAAGCCACCCATTCCTGGTAGGGTGCAGTTTTAGGTCGTACCCAGGACCAGGAGCCTCTTTACCATCCCCTACAGCTCCTCCCTTACCTCCAGATGACACCAGCAGCCCTCCAGCCAGGCAATGTTGTTGCCTGGCCTCCAGCAGCAGAACTGCCCTGTTAATATGAGCAGCCCCTGATTCAAAATGGCTGCCCTCATCAGGCACCTGGCAGCTGCCAGCTCCAGGCCCTTAAAGTGGCAGGCACACACAGTGCCCTGCCACAGTTGCCTGCCCCTGTTGTAAAGGTTTCAAAGTTCTGAGATCCTTGCAACTGGCTCCAGTTGGGGCAGTTCTGGGTGAGTCTCCCATGAATTGATGTCAATGTTGCGTTTTTTCCAAGTCGGCCTTGAGGACATCCTTGAAGCATTTTGTCTGCCCTCCTGTCAAGCATACGCCTTGACTGAGCTCTAAAACTTGCTTTGGGAGTCTGGAGTTGGACATCGGGATAATGTGCCTGGCCCTGCAAAGTTGATGTTGGATGATCATCACCTCAAGGCTTGTGATGTTTGCTTGCAAGAGGACACTAATTTTGGTGTGTCTGTCTTCTCACTGGATTCAAAGGATCTTCCACAGGCACCATTGATGGTACTTCTCTAATGACTTGAAGTGTCTCTTGTATGTTATCTACATCTCAACTCCATACAGCAAGGTGGGGATCACAACTGCTTGATAAACCATGAGCTTGGTTTCGGATTTGATGTCACAATCTTTGAATACCCATTTCCTCAGGTGCCCAAAGGCCACACTTGCACATTTGAGGCAATGTTGGATTTTGTTGATGTTAGCCTTCTGTGAGAGATGGCTTCCAAGGTACAGGAAATATTTAACACTCTCCAAAGTCTCACTGACAATCTGAATTATCAGAGCGATAACTGTTCTATGAACATATTGCCATTTACTATGATCATATAGCCATCATATTGCTAATTGCCATACATTTGTTATGATCATATTACTCATGAATGACAAACAAAGAATGGGTTATTTAAAAAGGTCTTTCTAAATATGTGACAATAAAATAGTAAAGAGTGCTATATCCAAATGCCCACCAGATGATCTTTCCTTTCAAACAAATTGGGAGCATCTGCTGACTTCCAACGAGCCTAAGTACTGCATTATCCCAAAATATTTATAATGCAAAGAGCATGATCATCTGGAATTTATCCTAATGTACCAGTATATAAACATTAATGCATACAACACCCCTAAATCAAGTTTTAAATAGTGGCAAATAAGAATGATGGCAAGCCGCCCCCCCCCCCCCCCCCCCCAAATCAAGTGACCCTTAGAAAAATTGCATGCCACCACCCTTTCCAAAGTCAAAGCCACATACGATTAGGATCTGATTCACATTGTTCCATATAGATATTTAATTTACTATGAAAACAACAGGGGCCCACAGCCAGCAGAACCAGTAAAAAGAAACCAGTAAATGGGAAACTTTGTATGGGACATCCTTGGTGAGAATGGAGCAGTTCTTATGCATCTCTGATATAGTTAAGTCTATAAGTTAGACTATAGTTAAACTCTACCCTGCCTTCTGACAGTTCTTGTTTGTCAGGGGATAAATTAATTTGTATGTGTTTCAGTTGCTTGGTAATTTATTGGCTTATAGAATCTTTTTAGGGGATATCTTGCAAGAAAGAGGCCATTTGGCTGTGGGTTTGAAGGAAGCTCCCTGCTTTTGATCATAGCTGACAGATGGTTAACAGTTAACAACAAATCCTAAGTAAGGATTAGAATTTATTTTTAAATTATTTTTGGTATTAATGGAAAACAAAGTATAACAGTATGACAGTTTAGTTGTGGACCTCCCAAACATAGAAAAAATAAATAATACTTTGTCAATGGTAATTATAATTGCAATGACAAATTATAGTTAAGGTTGAAGTGTTCAAGTTGGGATGTGATGCTACTACATTTTTGCCAGGCACCCTGAGAACTTTACTGAGGAAATAAAAGTATTAGCAACTAAGCCAGCTCACGCTTTTGATTCTGGCCACAGTAATATGTAAGTGTTACCTGTTGCAGGGAAAAAGCTTAAAAAGCCAAGCAGCTAACAACCATGGGAGCCCAGGGAAAATAAAACAGCAAACAAGGAAATTAAGGAGGTTATTTATAGGGGGGGAAATGTGAATTAATCTTGTTTTTAAAGGAAGGAAAGATAATGAAGATAACAGATCCAAATGAAGGAAAAGATCCAAGGGCTAGGACAGGAAGAAATAATGGAAAGAAGCAGAAAGTGGAGGTAAGAAGGAACAGTCATAAATTGCAAGAGACTTGAGAGGGAACAGAATAATGAACAGAAATGATTATAAATACCAATAATAGGATAAAGCATCTCTGTGGTTGGCCCTTCGCCCTGGTGCTGAAATGCACGGCCGGCCAGGCCATGTGTTCAGCACCAGGGCTCCAGTGCTGGTGAGTAAGGGGTCGGGGGGGCTGCAGGAGGAGGGAGGGGACCATGGAAGGGACCCCCACCAGCCTTGCCTGCTCCTCCAGGCCCCCGACCCCTGTCCTGCCCGACCCCAGTCCCCGCCAGCCCCCCAAACCCTGCCCTGCCTGACCCCATCCCCCATGCCCTCCTGATCCCTGCCCCCCCACCCAAGAGTCAAATAAAAAAGCCCCTGACACTTACTGGCAGTTTGGCTGTCATCTGGCTGGCTGGGGCCCCACCCACACAGTGCAGGGCAGAGGGACAGCCCCAGTGTCCCCAGCCCATGCCCTCCTGCCCCCTACTGTCCTGTGCTGCCCAGGGGGGCTCTGCCAGGAGGCCCTGGAACTCCTCCACCCCTGCTTCTAGGGTAAGTAGAGGCTTTTTTTTTTTTTTTTTCTTCTTCATTTTTCCCCCTTTTTTCTTCTTTAAAGTGAAGGTGCCTGGGGTTGTGCAAGTGCGGGGTGGGGCTGGGCAAGGCAGCCATTGCGGGGGGCTAGGACAGCCAACAGGGGGCTGCAGCAGCTGGGGGGGGGTGGGGCCAGGGGGGGGAGCAATTCGAGGGCTGGGGTCGAGCATG